CACTGCTTTTAAAATTTCTCAGGTGGACAACAGGTCTGGTTTCTTCTTGCATTCTCATGTATGTCCAGGACATTTTAGTAATTCTGTCATCCAAAAATATGCCTTTCTAAAAAAAAAAGAAAAAGACTGAAATTTATTTATATTCTTAAGTATAACAGGGATAGGTTCAGGTAAATGGTTAGAGAAAGATAAGGTTTAAAAACAAAAATACAAAATCAACATTTTTGTTGTGTTTTGTTTTGTTTTTAATGAACTTCCCTAAACTTGTAAAAAGTATTCTAACAAGCACTGTTATTATTATTAGCCACATTATGTACCCCATGAGAAAGTCTTTAACCAAATAAAAGATTAGAAGAGCAAAACCGTTAAAACTTACTGATACAAGCAAATTTAGAAGCACATATGGATACATGTAAAGAAAAACTGGAAGCTGTTACTATAGGATCTACAAATTATATTTTGAAAAAGCCAATTTAAGCAAAAATATTTTAAGTACTGTGTAAGGGCCACTTAAATTACATACTTTTCTACAAACCACCAACTGATAGAGAAGTTCAAAAGCTAATAAAACTAAATCAACCAGAGAAAAGAAAACTGTCTCATTTTATAGCATAAGTAAACTTATTGGAGGGCTTAAAGATCAATAGAAAATATATCATTTGATCTCCCAAAAATATTTATTAAAACTGTAAGTAACTAAAGGAGAAAGTAACAACCACTAAGGTAGCCGTGCATTTACAAACAGCAATGCAGCCTCTTGCTTCAAACATTTCGTATGTATGTAAGTATATATGTCTCAATCTGAGAGGGTTAAGATAAAACAAGAAATATAATACAGAAACTAGACTAGCAAAATAAAATGTCACATAATCACAGGAGCTGGATAATAGCAGCCACAGCTGAATCTGACATCCTTATATAGAAACAATTCAGACACTGACCAGTTTAAAAAAATTTTTTTTGAGGCTTTCAAATAATTGAGAACTGAATCCTTTATAGACACACTTGCTTATACTCAAGCCATAACAGTCATATTCTGAGTAGCAAAAATACTCAGAGGTGAACAGTAAATAACTAAGATGAATTGCAAGCAGTTGAATGAAATCTCTATCATCTTCTATGAAAGATTTTGCAAACCAATTTTGTGAGTGGTTGCTGAGTTATAAACCCTCCATTTAATTCAAATATTTAAACAGGTACAAAGCATTTATAAAATGTTGCAGAAATGAGGACACATTGAAAAATACATCTGCCACATAATAAACAGAGGAGTCCACTGTATAGACTCTGCTTCACAATCTATGTCAAATGTGCCATATTTTTCTTGCCTCATTCATTCAACTAATATTTATTTCTATACCAGACACAGAATCATTATTTCCTAGCTAACCATCTTTTAGGTTAGAATTTAGAACTGACTTCCTTTGAAGAACTTTCCCCAGTAGTCAAAAAAAGTTAATATTCATCTCCTGCCATTCTGTCCTTACTCCACAAAGGATTTTCCTTCCTTGTTTTTAAGTCTCTATCACACCAGCAGATTCCATGAGTAGGGAATGTCACTTGTTAACTCAATCACCAAGCCTGAGTCAGTCAATGTGAATGGCATCTTCAGTGAAAGAGTTAGCTTCCAAAGTGTTTTGCCAGGTGAAATTACACCAAGCATAAACCTTTGGATAACAGGCTCTTAAACATTCTAGTGCCATGAACCTTTTTAGCAATATGGTGAAGCCTAGGAACATCTTTCTCAGAATAATATATTTTTAAGACAAAGTAAAACACTAGTGATTTTAAAAACCGGCATACAGGGTATGTGTTTTTTGATATATATTAAAATATAGAGTCTACCACAATTTTGAACCATAAGCCGTACTGAGAGAATTATATAAATAAGTTAGAAATGATGTAAAAACATGTTACTTTTATTGCTCATACTCATAGGTACAGCTAATATTTCATTGGTTTATTTTACATATTCATAAGTGAAAGAAATTTTCATCAGTGATTAGAAAAAACAAAGATGTAGTTTTTTTCCTAAGTTCACATACTCTCTCTGAATTTTATCCATGGACCTTCCAGATCCTAGATAGAAGTTAAAAAGCCTCGTTTGAGATTCAAAAAAAATAAATAAATAAAAGAGATCCTAAAACTCATGAAATAGTTCTCATAAAACGATCCCCCTCCAAGAAATTAAAAAATTCAATGTAAGATTGACCTAAGAATCCAAGAGCAGAAAAAGTCAATTTATATGTTTTAAAGAGGCTATATATATACCAAAGGAATGATCTATAAAAGAAATAATTGATAAGCTGGACTTCATTAAAATTAAATAAGTCTGATCTTCAAAAACACTTTCAAAAGAATAAGAAGACAAACCAAAGACTACAAGAAAGTATTTACAAAACACATATTTAATACAAGACTGTTATCCAAAATATACGAAGAAATCTTAAGTCAACAATTAAAAAATGAACAACCGAATTAAAAATGGACAAAAAATCTGAACAGATACCTCATCAAAGAAGATACAAAAATGGCAAATAAACTATGGTATGTCCACACAATGGAATGCTATTTATCACTAAAAAGAAATGAGCAATCAAGGCATGAAAAGACATGGAGGAGATTTAAACACATATTAGTAAATGAAGGAAGCCAATCTGAAATGACTATATACAGTAAGATTTCAACTATGTGACATTCTGGAAAAACTGAAAATATGGCAACAGTAAAAGGATCACTGGTTGTGAAGGGTTAAGGGAGGGAGTGATGAACAAGTACAAAGGGGATTTTTTGGGCAGTGAAACTAATCTGTACCGTACTATTATATGTTTGCCAAAATTGATAGAATGCACAACACCAAGAGGGAACCCTAATGTAAAGTGGAGGCCAGAGGTTAGGTAGGAAAACAAATATTTAAAGAAATGATTACTCCAAGATAAGTCATATCATAGAATTATACAACTAGCGCATTAGGAACACAAAAAAAGTTGTTATAAATATAAAAACTCTTAATCTTACCATAAAAACACTAATTTGGGAGTTCAAATAGAAATCAAATAAAAATGTACATCAAAATTATGAAATCATAGAAAACTATAGTTAGACAATGATAGAGATAACTAAAACATTCTTTAGGTTATATAGGATGTTCTTATTTTAATGGAAAGCCACAGGCAGGAAAAAACACAGCTTCCAATGTCTGAAGCACTCTGACTATGATAATATGAAATATACATTAATACAAAGGAGATCTGACATAACAGATGGACTATCAAAATGAGTCATACTGGTTATTCCAAGTAGAGTGCTGTAAGTGACATAACTTCCAGATTGTTTCTTCAAATTTAACTTAATTCCCATAACATTCAGAGCATTTCCATAAATCTTTGTCTTCATTAATTAAATCAATCCTACTGATCAACAATCACTGGAAAATCTTTCTCTCTATCAAAAATGACTTATTAAGATATTAGAAGGGAGATTATTCAAAATACTCTATATTATCCTCTTACCATCATTCTTTATTTGAAAAGATGAAAAGGGAAAAAAGATGGGTCTTTCCATCCATTTTAACTAATAGGATCATTTCTACAGAATAAGATAAAAATGACAATCTTCTTAGATCCATCAACTGAAGGGATAAGATCAGAAAAGATTGTAAGTTTATGAAGATTATTTCAGCTCTGAAAGCAAAAGAGCAATTTTACCTTTTACTTAAAAACAAAACATTTTAAAAATATCTCCACCAGAGTGGAAATATACCACTCTAAGTATTAAATCAATTCCTAACCATGAAAATTGGTAAAAAGAAAGAATTAAGTATCTTAGCCTTCTCATACAAGAGAACTATGGTTCATTCCTGGCTGATGAGAAAAAACTGTTTTTTTTAATAGAAGAACAGCAGTTAATCATGCAGAAAACATGACAGAATTAGAAAAACCACCATTCTACAGCCTTCCACTTAACAACATTATTAAGTAAAAAGTTGTTTCAGAAATGAAGCCAAAATACCACTCTATAGATTACTTGCTAATCTCCACAAGAAAAACTTACTCCAATATGTAGATATCTTGATGAGCTACTAACATATCCATGTGATCAAGCACAGTACCACATTACACATTTTGTAGGACACATTTTTGAGACAATTGGGAAATTTTCAATTATGGTTTGGATATCAGATACTATAATGTGTTAACTTTTTGAACTATAATATCTGGTTACATGGGAAAAGGCCCTTATTCTTAGGAAATATATGATTAATTTGTAGTCTGGTGAAATGTCATCATCAAATATGTAACTTAAATTCAAATGATTCGACAAAATACAACATGCCTATGTATATATATTACACATACCCCAGGTGTACAAGTATATACATATATATATAATACATATGAAATGTGAACACCTACTTAATCAAGGTGGTGATACAAGTATCATTACTATACCATCTTTTAAATCTATTTTTATGTTTGAAACCTTATGTAACAAAAAGTTTGGTGAAAGAAAATGATTAATAGGGCATTCCATATGCTATAACATCTCGCCTTAACAAATACCTTAAGAACAAGCAGAAAAATAGACACTACCACCAAAAAGTAGGGGAAAATACACGTAGTTTATAATATGCTACAAAATGAAAAAGAAATGAAGTTACAAAGAGAGTGTCACTTGCATGCATTAATATGTAGTCTGGAATATTGAAATTCTCAGCTTAAATATAATACAGAAATTAACACAACTCAACAACACTGTTTATAATCTTCTTGAGAACAAAACTAATGATTAGAGGATTTCTAAATTTTTATTTTAAATTACTTCATTCAAGAACCACCTACTGAACACTAGTTACTTTTCTGATATACACTGACCCATATAATAAAAGTCAGAGTCCATAGTTCATATTTTCCATTTCTCAAAACAAACAAACAAACAAAACTGGTTGAAAAACCCATGATATAAATGCCAAAAAAAAAACAAAAAACCCAAACACATACCACTTGTATTAAACGCCATACAGCACACTGGTTTTTCATGAGCAGGAAAGTGGGCCACAATACCATCACTGTCAGAATCCTCGCTCACAAGCACCTTTACAGAAAGAAAGCAAATGGAAGTTAAGCTTTACTCACCAATCACTGAGCCTGAGGTATACACAGCTACACTACAATACCCCTGACCAAATAACATGCTTCCACTATATTGGAAGATTATTCTTGTCACTATAAGGTGAGAATGCCACTTTAGGAATGAGGAAAATATATAATATGCCCCAGCAGATCAATCATATAAACTCTAGAAAGTTGACCAGCTTTACTGTAAATGACAGAGACAATAATTTATTGAAGTAGAGGTTTAGAAAAAAATAAAAAGCATAAAATCAGCCATGTAGACCTTCCTCCAAAGAACACACAGTTCTTATTGTGTTATGGCCTGCTGGAAAATGCTTGCTCATGACTAGATTATCATCGGGTCATGATATTCAGACATAAGTAATTTAATCAATAAATATTTTTTAAAGAGTTTATTTATTTGTGAGGGAGAGCAAGCGAGCATGGGCACAAGCAAGGGGAGCAGCAGGCAGAGGGAGAAAGAGGACCCTGATGAGCAAGGATGCGGGATTTGAACCCAGGGTCCTGGGACCATGACCTCAACTGAAGGCAGATGCTTAACTGACTAAGCCACCCAACGTGTCCCTAAATAATTTAATCTGAAGTACACCAGGAACTAATCCTACACTGGCAATGTTAATTTTTCTGTTAGTATGAAAAGTTTTACAAAGGTGAAATTCACATACTATAAAGTTGCCTGTTTTATGTTTATAATTCAATGATTTTATACAATACTGTAACCATTACAACAATCCATTACAATCTGATTTGTCATCCTTTCCTATCTTAATGCTTTAATTTTCTTGCCTTATTGCTCTGACTCGAACCTGCAATTCAATGAAGCCACGGGTTTGTCAATTTTCTTGTGCATGGATCATTACTGCCATCTTAACAATATTTGAGTGTTCAGTTCAATATATTAAGTATAGTCACACTGTTGTGTAACAGATTTCTAGAACTTTTTCATCTTGCAACACTGAAACTCTATACCCACTAAACACTGATTCTTCTTCCTCCCTTCCCAGCCCTTGTTAACCACCTTTCTATTTTCTGTTTCTATGATTTTGAGTATTTTAGAGAGTCAAAATAATGGAAAGAATAGAGCATTTGCACTTTTATGTCTGGCTTATTTCCCTTAGCAAAATGTCCTCAAGGCTTGTCCATATTGTAACATGTCACAAGATTTCCTATTTTTAAGGCTGTATAATATTATATAGTATGTATACATCACATTTTCCTTTACCCACTCACCTAGTGATAGATCTATGGATTGCTTCCAAATCCTGGTTACCATGAATATGCTGCAATGAATGTGGGTGTGTAAATATCTCTTTAAGATCCTACTTTGAATTCTTTTGCATGTAAACCCAGAGGTCAGATTGCTGAATCATACAATAATTCTATTTTTATCTTTTTGAGAATCAATTTTGTTGATCTTTTCAAAGAATCAATTTTGGACTTTCCCCAATATTGCACTATTTGCTATTTTGTTGACTTCTATTCATAACTTTAGTATTTATTTCATTTATTTTGCTTAGTTATAATTTGCTCTTCTTTTTCATATTAGAAAAAGGGGAAAGTGAAGACTATTAGTTTCAGACCATTTTTCTTTCCTACTATAAGCATTTAAAGCTAAACATTTCCTCTATACAAAGGAAGAGCTGCACTTTATAAATTCTGATATGTTCAGTTTTTATTTTCATTCCATTCAAAATATTTTCTAATTTCCTTGAGATTCCTTCTCTGACTCATGAGTTATTTATAAGTAGGTGTGTTGTTTTATTTCCAAATATTGGGAGATTTCCATAATTTCATTCTGTTATTGACTTCCATAGTTCACAGGGAACATACTTTGCATGATTTTAATCCTTTTAAAGCTATTTAGATTTGTTTTATGGGCAATTGTAAGGTCTATCTTGGAAAGCATTCCAGATGTTCTTGAAAAGAATGCAAATTCTACAGGTTTGGGGAGGGAATGTCACATTGTGCTGATTGATAGTGTTAATCGAGTCTTATAAATCTTCACACATTTTGTCTAGTTTTTCCTATCAATTATGAAGCAAAGTATTTAAATCTCAAGCTATAAAGTTAGCTATAATTTCTCCTTTCAATCTGTTGGATTTTGCTCAATGTTTGCTGGGCTATGCTGTAGGTGTCCACACATTAATATTTGTTTTATCTACTTATTACATTGACCCTATTGTTACTATGAAAGATCTTTCTCTCTGGCAATATTTCTTGACTTTCTATTTTGTCTGATATTAATATAGCCACTCCAGTCCTATCATGGTTATTGTTTGCATGGTACATTTCTTCAATCCTTTTACTTCAGCCAATTATGTCTTCGAATCTGAATGATTCTGGCCTGATAATCACTGTCTTTTAACTTTAGTCCATCTATAGTTAATATAACTATGTACATAATTGGATTAAGGTCTGCCATTTTGCTAATTATTTTGTCTCAGGTGTTTGTTGTACCTCTGATCCTCTTGTGTTAATTATTTTTAAAGTTACCATTTGAATTCCTCTGTTAATTTTTTGGAGTAATTTTTAGTGGTTGCTGTATAGGTTACAAGGTACTACATAGATTATAAGACTGTCCATTAATTATAAACTTAATTGGAATAAAGCATAGCTCCTTGCTCCAATATAGTTGCATTCCCTCCCCATTCTTTTGTGCTACTGTTGTTATATGTATTATCAACTGAGAAACATGTTATAATTATTACCTAAAACAACTGTCCACATTTTAAAGAAATTAAAGGAAAAGAAAGATAAATATTTATATATTTTCTTTCCTCAAATGTTTTTCTGCCCCTTTCTCACCTCTCTTTCTAAGACCCCAATTACACATATGTTGGTACATTTGATGTTGTCCTAGAGGTCTCTGAGGCTCTACTTACATTTCACTAACATTTTTCCTCTCTGTTCTTCAAATTGGCCCCAATCTCAGGCTAGCAGGGCTACACATTATCCCTTATTCATCACCTACCAAGTTTACTAATGAAAATAATCCAAATCAAGTAAATCACCTGGTTAGAAGGGAAATGGCTTGTTCACCTGGCCCACTTCACTCTGATAAAACTGTCACACTCACCAAGCTCCAGGCAGATGTGAATAAGAGCAGCCTCAGGCAAAAAGGCCATTATCTCCTATCACTGTTATCCAAATTCTAAAGTCTTCACATGTTTATCATTACATTCTTTTTTGGTCTATATCCAGAGTCCCCAGATAGCAATTTTTGAAAATTCTTTCAAGTAATATACTTATTTTCTAGGGAGAAGATTTGCTTACCTCTTCACCATAACTGATAGTCATTCCCCAATCACAGTAAATTTATACATTCAAACCACCATTTAATACATTTTAATAATGTATAAATTTAATGCTTAGTAAATTTATACAACTGCATAACCATTACCACATTCTAGATTTAGAATTCTTCCATCACCCCAAAAATGTCTTCATATTAACTCTACAGTAGATCTCTAACTCTAAGCCCCAGGCAATCCCTATGTACATTTTATTTCTTTTGTCTTTTCTAAAATTTTTGAAAATTTTTCATATAGACAGAATCATGAAGGAGGCTCAGTTAAGCATCTGCCTTCGACTCAGGTCATTATCCCAGGGTCCTGGGATCGAGTCCTATATCAAGCTCCCTGCTCAGCAGGGAGCCTACTTCTCCCTCTGCCTGCTGCTCCCCCTGCTTATACTCTCTCCTTCTGACAAATAAATAAATAAGATCTTTAAAAAAAAAAAAGAATCATGCAATTTGCCTTCTATTTTCTTTCACTTTCATTCTTTTCTTTCACTATAATTTTTATAGTTCAACCATGTTGTTTCAGGTATTCATTTCTTTATATTGCTTAAGTTGTATTCCACTGTATGGAGGTATCACAACCTGTGGGTTCACCCACCAATTCTTGGCAATTCTTGGCAATTTGGATTATTTCTAGTTGGTTACTATGAAGCATAGTCTGTTATGAATATCTATGTATACATATTTTTCTGAACATACTTTTATTTCTCTTGGAGAGATATCTAGAGTGAACTTGCTCAGTGATATGATAAACATATGCTGAACTTTTAACAAACTGTTTTCCAAAATAGCTACATCATTTTATATTTCCACCAGTAAAGTATGAGGTTTCCAATTTCTCCACGTCCTTTCCAACACTTTGTATTATACATCTTTTTAATTATGGGCAATCTACTAGAGGCAGAAATCAGAATGATGGTCACCAGGGACTGTGGGGACAGGGGGTTGGGGAGTTACAGTACAATGAATCCAGATGATGAAAAAGTTCTAGAAATGGAGAAGAGTGATGGTTGTATAACACTATGAATATACTTATGCCACTGAAGTGTAAACTTAAAAGTGGCTAAATGTCAAATTTTATGTTATGCATATTTCACCACAATTGGCAGGAAAACATGCCTTGTAATTTATTTTTCTAATCTTTCTTTTTGGTTTTTCCACTGACTTTCATTTTCTATTATTAACATATAATGTATTATTTATTTCAGGGATACAGGGTCTGTGATTCATCAATCTTACACACATTAAGTGAGAAAAATAAGAAAAGGAAAAGAAGTCTTATAGGAGTAGTCTTCGGCAAAGTGTGTTACACCAAGTTTGTTAAATCTACGAAGGGTTTGCTCTGGGTATATGGTATATTCCCATAATTGTAGAACCATCACCACAACCAAATTTAGAACATTTTCATCACCAAAAGAAACCTCATAATATTAACAGTTGCCCCACATTTCTCCCATTTCTTCCAAGCTACCAGCCCTGGGCAACTATAATCTACTTTATTGATTTGCTTCTTCTGGACATTTCATTCCATAAATGGAATCGTACAACATATACTCTTTTGTGACTGGCTTCTTTCACAAAGCACATTATTTTCAAGACTCATCCACATTGGAACATGAAAAGTACTTCATTTCATGTTATTGCTGAAGAATATCACATTGTATGTCTATATCACGTTATTTATCCATCTACCAATCAGTTGATGTATATATACCAAGGTTGCACCTACTTTTTAGGCATTACAAATAATGCTGCTATGAACGTACATGGACATGCATTTCGTTTCTTTTGGGTATATCTGGAAGACAAACTGCTAAGTCATATGGTAACTCTTTTCCAAAGCACCTAGACAAATTTGCATTCGCAGCAACAGTGTATGAGGGCTCTCATTTCTGCTTATCTTATCCTTGCCACAAACAGAGCTCTCCCTGCTTCTCCCAGCCAATAGCAGGGACCCACTGGAACCCATGGATTCCGGGCCCCAATAGGCTTCAGAATAATGTGGAACCCAGGCCAACCTGTGGCCCCTTCTACCTCTGGCCTTCAGGTTTATTTCCCAGTTTGGTGGGGGCAAGGAGGAGGGAAGTAGGAATGGTTGTGTGGGTGCAGAACAGCTGTAAGTGTACCCATTGTTTACCCTCCTGATCACATGGCTAACTAGGAGCTATGGCCGGCAGTCGCTGCCCAGCATCACAGGAGAATACTACTATACCATGTATCACTGAACTAGGGAAGTTCAAAATTCCCCAAATTCAAAGTACAGTATCTACTGAATTTATAAAGGACTTTCATGTCATCAAAAAGTTGAAAAATCATTAAGTCAAGATATTTTAAGTCAGGGAAATTTTGTAGGTTTTATTTTTTTTTCTGTGAAATATTTGTCTTTGTCCATTTCACTATTTTAATTCAATTTTACAAGATTCCCTTTCATGTATTGTAACCCTACATCTTCCTCTGCAACACAATTAGTAGTGAGTCCTCTATTTAATGGTACCAATACAGAAGCTGTCTAGTAAAAATGCACGTTAATCTTGGGGCACAGCAAAGCCTCATACCACTATGTATAATTCTTTGTATTGAACCATATGAGCTTCACAAATATAACAACCAGATACTTTTGGAAGGATTCTTTCCATTGCATTATCACCTTACCTAAAACATCAAATTAATAATAGAAAAGATATCCCAAAACAATTGTCCTAAGACATGCACCTTTTACTCACCAGTTAACTAAGCAGGCTGAACTTAAGTATATGTAATAACAACTTGACTATATTAAAATTAATCAAACACTTTAACTGATACAAGGTGGATAAACCTTTATCATGTGAACAAAAAGACAGACAAAACACTTCAGGAGCCCCTAAATTATTATGAGTAACACTTGTACCCAGGGAAAGAAACAGCTGAAGTTTATGTCATCATTCTGGAGGATTTTTCTCTGATTAGAGACTTTGCCACACTGCTAACTTCAATTATATAAATGTGTAAAGGCATATTATACCACTTAGCTTATCTAGCCACAAAATGCTTTTAAATAAAACAAGTAACACAGATTTTAAAATGGACATGAAGTCCATCAAATCCACTCCTCCTTAACGCAGTTACCACACGATGATCCCATCAACATAAAATCAAACTAATCAATTTAGCATTAGAAAGATGGTGAATCAAATTTTATATACTGCCACTGTAAACATGAAAATATCTTTATTAGAGGCTCACTGAATTTAAAGAGCAAAAGTGAACATAATGTTAGTTTCAGCTCCTGAGATATATATGGAAAAGGAAAACATTACAGCTAGGGTCAAACATCAGTTGGAAAGGGCTGAAAGTGATAAATCTATGACAATAACCCCTGAAGTCTTTTTCATACAATCCAGCATAACCTAAAAACAGCCCTGTACTCCAAGCGAACTATGTATCAGAGACAAAAATGTCTTCTTGACAAAAAACAGATTCCCATTAATAAAAGAAAGGAGGATAGTATTATACTCAGAAAATCTTGTTGCTTTAAAAAATATTTGTAATTCTCTCAAAATGCACATAGCAACTTGCCATTTATTAAATATCAACTTATTTCCTGCTTTATAATAGAATTTTAAAATAAATTAAAATTTCAGAATGTTATAAGTGGGAATGAAAAGAGATTATGATCTCAACAAATAAGAGAAAAGATAACATTTTTAAGATTGGGCAACACTTAACTTCTTTTCACTTTTAAAAGCTAACAATTCTGTAATTCTTATTTCCTAATGAAGTACTTTACTTGTTTCAAGTGTCAACAACTCCCTTATCAAGGAAAAATGAATTTTGCAATTCCACAGCCTCCACTTCATTTCCATATTCCAAACCTGAGAATTCCATTTTAAACTAATAAAAAGTTAATAAAAAATGGGAGGGGCATGGGGGAACCACATTTGATAACACAAGGCCTAATGCTAAGCTTTTTAATATCATTACTTCAAGATTTTCTTTTTACATGTTCCTACACTTAAATATAATAAAACAAATTGAATTATACCTCTATTTCATGAAAAATAATCAGATAACATTTTCTACTTCTAAATGACCACAAATCTGTCTGTCAACAAATGCTAGACACTTAACAGACTTACTTGGACTCACCAAACTAGACAATGTTGACTGTTACTACGCATTAAATGTGGGTGGCCTTGGAAGTAAATTAATTAAGAACTAAAGGACAAAAGAAAACATTTTTTACTTTAACACTCATAAAACACTAAAAGTTTAAATATTTAATTCCAATTGAGAAAGAAAATTAACATCTATCTGTGTCTATCAACTTGAGCTAATTATCACTACTTAAAAAAATTTCATTACACTCAACTGAAAAGTTTGCTAGCACTTCATTAAAAAGAGTTTTAAACAAGATTTGGTGAACCGCAAAGTTAACATGGGAGAGGTGGATTATCATTCAGATTTCAAATAAAATACAACAGCTAAATTGAATAACCCAGAATTTCAAAGATTTTTTTGTCTTTTAATTGCAGTACAGACCATGTGCTTTTGAAATGCCATTTGATCTTACTATAAGAACTAGTACATGAGTAGTGGTCAAAGGTAATCTTTTATCAGATACAGAACCATGTATTACTGGAAGGAGATTTTCTAAAAAGAACATGCAAAATTTACGGTTAATACTTTAAAGATTCACGTAGCTTCCAGACATTATGTTCTAAAAACAGAAATATATATTATAGAAAAATTAAAATAATTTCTATTTCACAAATGTTGCTCTACTATTCTATTCTAACAATCAACTTTAGATTGGATTTTTTGTAGCAATAATCACAAACTACTAGAATTTTAAAATCCTCTTCCTTTCAGAAATGTATTTTAAAATTCAAGACTATTAATAGAAAAGAAAATAACTTATGGGTACGTGGGGGGAGAAAACAAAATCCAATGGGTTTCTCATCAGCAACATATTGTCACATATTTTTCCATGTTTATAATCACTCCTTCTAAATGTTTCTGCATTATCTGAAGATACAGGATTTGGTAAGATGCATTACCATGTATGTATTCTAATATACACTTTGAGATATTTGTCCATTTTTCGTATTTATAAATAAGTATAATAAAATTTGATATTATTTACATTACTGTCATTTGTAACCATCATAATTAGTCAATAATTTTTTAAATTCCCTCCAAAATGTGGAAGGTCATATTGATTGCTTCTATGAGCAAGCCTCTACCTTAAAAATTAATTATTAAAGGATGCCTGGGTGGTTCAGTTGAGTAGGCATCTGCCTTAAGCTCAGGTCATAATCTCAAAATCCTGGGATTGAGCCCCATATCAGGCTCCCTGCTCACGGGGGCATCTGCTTTTCCCTCTCACTTGGCCCATCCCCCCAACTCATGTACTCTTCTCTGTCTCTCAAATAAATAAAATCTTTTTAAAATCAATTATCAATCTTCTGATTTAGATCATAACAAACATCATTTTAAAAAAAAATGTATTACAAATGCAAGAGTATAAAGAGGTATGTAACTATTTATTTGTGAAACAAATGTCCTAATGAAGAGATAACAAGAACTCCTTAGAACCTCAATTTTACCTTCAGGTTCAAAACATTAATAACGTTTGAAATAAGAGGTTTTAACATATTACTCCTCTTTTCTTGAAAAAAAAATTCTAACCTGAAATAACCTCAATTTCTAGAATTCCAGATTAAGAATCTCCAAGGCCAAGTGCATCTGGCTGTTCCTGATCACAAATGACATTCTTAGTCACCCCATCCTTTGCAGAAAAAGGACATTGCCTGCATCAGAAGTTCTTACCTGGCCCTCTCCAACTGTTTCAGTGTCAATTACTGTGATGATGCCTGGAACCAAAGGACTCCGCCTTGAATTACTATGGAGGGCAACATCATCTTCTGTCACACCTGAAGGCAGTGTGCCTGTCAGCTGAGTCACTACTTTCCCGACCATTGTCAAACCAGTTTTCAATGTCTATAAAATGAAATGTAAAATATATGACTTCACATCAGTATTTGGATTCTAAACAGAAATATGCATTTTGTTAATTCTTCTATCTTTTAACTTCCTTATTCTCTTACAAGCCTATATGTAGCAGTGAGTTGTCATAGAAATTCAGTCTGACTTTTCATATGATCTTAAATTTTAGTTAGAAAATCAGTATTAATTTAAGTGAATGCTATCAGTAGAATCCCCAAAGTCAGCATAGTGAAAATAAAGCCATACGTAAATACCCAAAAAGCTTTATTTCGCATGAAGAAACAATTATATTTTTATAAAAAAAAATTCTTCTCTCCCTTCTTCTTAATACATATAACAATGGCAAGATTTCATTCTTTTGGATGGCTGAGTAATATCCCATTGTGTTTATACACCACATCTTTATCCATTCATCAGTCAATGGACATTTGGACTCCTTCCATAATTTGGCTATTGTTGACAGTGCTGCTACAAACACTGGGGTGCATGTGTCCCATCAAATCAGCATTTTTGTATCCTTTGGGTGAAAGCCTAGTAGAGTAATTGCTGAATCACAGGGTAGTTCTATTTTTAACTTTTTGAAGAACCTCCATACTGTTTTTGTAAATGGTTGTACCAGTTCATATTCCTACCAATAGTCTATGAGGGTTCCCCTTTCTCTGCATCTTCACTAACATGTTGTTATATTTTGAAATACAAATCTAATTTTAAATCTATTTTTTAGCATGAAAAAGACTGACCAATTGTAGAATTCCATTTGACCAATGGTAAAATGAAAAAGACTATGCTTTCAAAGTAAATCTATAATATGCTATTATATAATATTGTGCATCAAGATCAGGCATGTAGATACCTATTCCTATGCCACAACCACACATCACAGGTGGGCCAGACAAGAGCCCCACATACTCCCATGCCAGAGCCATAGCCCTACCACAGTAGGTGGGCAGACACATGCAGCTCACACAGGAGACACTCCTTGAGTCCCTAAGAGACATAAGTGCTTCTGAGCCTCCCAAGCTATCTCCCACAAAAGCCACTCCTTCAAGACTATTAGAGGTAGTTGATTTGCCTAATAATAGAAACAAACACAGAAAGCCAAAATGAGAAGAAAGAGGAATATGTTTCAAAGAAAAAGACAAAACCTCAGAAAAAGACCTTAATAAAATGAGATAAGCAACAGAGTTCAAAATAATGGTCATAAAGATACTCATCAAATTCAGAAGAATGAATGAACACAGTGAAAACTTCAACAAAAATAAGAGAAAATATTAAGAAGTATCAAACAGAAGCTACAGAGCTAAAAATATAAAAACTGAACTGAAAAATACACTACAGGAGTTCAACAGCAGACTAAATGAAGCAGACCAGTGAGATAGAAGGCAAAACAATGAAACTCACTCAAAGGAGCAAAAAGAAAAAAGAATTTAAAAAACAAAAACCTTAGGAGGACTTCAAGCAGAACAGCATTCACAATACAGGGTCCCCAGAGGAGAAGAGAGAAAGGGCCAGAAAAATTATTTTTAAAAAATAATAGCTAAAAATATCCCTAATCTGGGGAAGGAAACAGGCATAATGGTGGGAACCCCAGAGTGTTCCAAATAAGACAAACCCAAAGAGATCCACACCAAGACCCATTATAATTAAAATGGTAAAAGTTAAAGAGAGAATTTTAAAAGCGTCAAGAGAAATAGATACAAGGAAACCATCTAAGACTATCAAGATTTTTCAACAGAAACTTTGCAATCCAAAGGGAGTGGCATGCCATATTCAAAGTGCTAAAAGGAAAAAACTTCCAACCAAGAATTCTCTACCCAGCAAAGTTATCACTCAGAATCAAAGGGGAAATAAGGGGGTACACCTAGGTGGTGAAACTAGACCACTTTCTTATACATAAAAATTAACTCAAAATGAATTAAATAACTGAATGTAAGACCTGAAACCACAAAATTCCCGGAAGAAAACATAGGCAATAAGCTCATTAACATCAATCTTAGAGATGTGCTTGTGGATCTGTCTCCAAAGGCAAGGGAAACAAAAGCAAAAAAAAAAAAAAATTGGACTCTATCAAACTGAAAAGCTTCTGCACAGCACAGGAAACCATCATCAAAATGAAAACACTTAATGGAAGAAGACATTTGCAGATTACATATCTGAATACAAGGTTAATATCCAAAATATATAAAGAATTCACACAACTCAGCAACAATAACAAAAAATAAAAATAAAAAATAAAAAATGAGTAGAGGATCTGAAGAGATGTTTTTCTGAAAAAGATATACAGATGGCCAAAAGACGTGAAAAGATGTTCAATATCACTAGTCAGCAGGGAAATGCAAATTAAAACCACAATGAATTATCATTTCACACCTGTTACAATGGCTATTATATATATAAAAAAAAAAAAGACAAGAAATCACAGGTGCTGGAGAGAATGTGGAGAAAAGGGAAGCCTTGTTAGCTGTCAGTAGGAATGCAAACTGGTGCAGCCACTACAGAAAACAGTATGGAGATTCCTCAAAAAGTTAAGAATAGATCTACCATACGATCCAGCAATTCTACTTCTGGGTATTTATTCAAAGAATATAAAAACACAAATTCAAAAATTACATACACGCCTATGTTCAATGGAGCATTATATACAATAGCCAAGACATGGAAACAATGTAAGTGTTCACTGACAGATGAATTAGGATAAAGAGGATGTGATATATATATTATATATATGTATATATATAATATACATATTTAGTTATAATATGTAGTTATATATTATACAGTTATATATTCTATATTCTATTTTTAATTTTTAATTTATATATTTATATAAAATATATTTATATTTATGTATGTAAATATATATATATATAAAGAGGAGTGAGGTATATATATCAGAATATTACTTAGCTACATAGAAGAATAAAATACTGCAATTTGTGACAACATGGATGGACCTTGAGGGTATTGAGCTAAGTGAGATAAACCAGATGGAGAAAGACAAATACCATTTGATTTCATTTATATGTGGAATCTAAAAAAACAAACAAAAGAATATAAAAACAAACTTACAGAGAATAGATTGATGGTTACCAGAGGGGAAGGCGATCGGGAGGTGGGCAAAAATGGGTGAAGGTAGTCAATTTGATGGTGATGAACGGCAACTAGACTTTTGGTGGTAATCACTTTGTAGTACATACAGATGTCAAATTATAAGGTACACGTAAAACTAATATGTTATATACCAATTTTACCTCAATTAAAAGAAAAAAAAATTGGCATGTGGAAATATAGTCTCCATCCAAGATACCAATTACTAGATGAATAAAACATCACAAAAGATTAGCTAAGAAGACTGTTTTTTCTCTGGTAACAGAAAATAATTCACTGTAATGCTTCTAATATACTATTTCAATTAAAGACAACTTAAGATGTTTTATAATTACATTTTAGTTCCATTTCATTCGAGGCAAATAGATAAAACAAACTCGTGAGTTATTTCTTGTATGCGAATCTTATTATCTGATTACTGCTATTTGCATTAACAAACAATAATGCGAAAGTAATGCGTTTCTGTGGGATTTTTTTTTTGTCCCATAAAGAGAAAAAAACTAAAAGAAAGAGAAAAGCACGTGATTCATATATATCAAAAAAAAAGATTTAACCAGCAGAGTGAAAATAAGTAGATTACATGGACATATCAGAAATTATGTAGGATATACACATTCAGAAATAATTTTTTCCATGGGCGCCGGGGTGGCTGAGTGGGTTAAAGCCTCTGCCTTCCGCTCAGGTCATGATCCCAGGGTCCTGGGATCGAGCCCCGCATCGCATCGGACTCTCTGCTCGGCAGGGAGCCTGCTTCCCTTCCTCTCTTTCTGCGTGCCTCTCTGCCTACTTGTAATCTCTATCTATCAAATAAATGAATAAAAATCTTTTTTTAAAAAAAAGAAAGAATTTTTTCCAATTCTCAAATTGTGAGAAAAAAATTTTTTTAAATACTGCAAACTAATCTTTAATGAAATGACTCCCTCTTTTTAGAATAATTATGGAGAATTCTGGCATATGCTATAGCTAAATTTTAAAATGAAAATTATTGTATACATGGTATTTCAAATACTGTTTCATAAAAGATAGGGAAAGAAGGTACTTTATAAAGACCTAAATGTGATTTAAGCAACAATTAGATTGGAATTAAAATAAGGAAATGTATTTTCCAAGGAAATTTTCCATTAAAACACCATACAGCTAAGACTAGTAATATATGTATTATTTTACTGTAGCTATGTCCTGTGGAATCTTTACTGTGCACTTGTCAAGACTCTTAACATAGATGATCTCTACAGATTTACTCGAACACTTCTTTTCTATAGAAAAGAAAATTGAGGCTACAGAAGTTAAATGAAATGGCATCTCAAACAGTTAACCAATGACAAAGCCAGAATTCAATACTAGTACTATCTCTAAAACCTGATTTCAACCGCCATCCAGTACTGCCTTGTATTCAAATCCTGTTACTACTTGTGACCTCACACTTCATGAATTCAGAACACAGACATATACCGGGGCAGGGGGAAGTGTGTGGAATGAAGACTATAATAGTGTGTCCTAATAAATACTTAAATAAAATGACCATCAAAGCCATTTGCTGAACTCAAGCAAAAAAATGTAACTTACTGCTGACTGAAACCATGAAAAAGCCACAAATCAATTCTAACTCTTTTGTTTAGCGCTAAAACCTCAGACTGCAGTGATTATAAAACACATCAGCATTCCTCAATTATCAGCCAAACATTTGTTTCAATAATTCACAAGCAATGACTTACACAAAGTCTGTTAGAGCGTTGTCAAGAAAGCCTCTGAAGGACCAACAAAATCAGGCGCCACTGTGTATTGATATCAAAGCTGGCCAGGAAGCCTGATTAACCTCTGAGATGCCTCAGCTGCTGTACTTACTCCATCAGGGCTAATGGAGATGCTCCCACTTAAACAGAGCT